TTACGATCCCGCACTTTTTTCTCATGAATCGGCGCTATTGCCTGTTCTTATTCACGTACGTGCGGATCAAAATTACATGAACTCATTGTGAGACTCATGAACTCAGAATGAGATCCTTAGATTGACAATCTGTGATATAAAGTGATAGAAAATGGTTTACTGGCGGGTTAAATCTAATTTATATATTGCGTTTCCACATAAATTACATCTCCGGTTCTGAGGTTGCATAACCGCAAAGAGGGACGTCCTTCAGATTCGAGGTTTCTGAACACACTATACCACTGTATCGAAATGTTTCCAGACTCTTGCTTATTGTACAGAGCGATAATGAGAGCAGACGAAATTCGTAAAGCGGGTCGGAATTGCTTTGAAGAAAATAAATTAAAATGCAAAGGTGTAAATGATCACTGTTTGATACCAATAATTTGACAACGTTATTTTCCTGACGCAAAATTAAGAACTATAATTTGGGAACAATTTTTCACTCTCCTCTGCAAACATATATGTTTACAATTTACAGTAAATTATTAATAAAGCATTGAAGAAAATATTCATGTTTGTATGAGATATAATAGCAACATAATTAAATAATAATCAATTACATATTAAAAACGATATTAATAAATCTTTTCAAACAACGATATGTATGACTTAAGAATAATTATGACTAGTACGTAAATACACAATCATCATTGAGAACAGTTTTCTTAAAATATTTATTTTCCAACTGAATACTTAACTAATTTATAAAATGCATGAATGTCTGTTCTTGGCGTTAAAGCCCGGGCTCAGGGCTCAGGCCTACCGGTGACGTCCCTCGCGACTATGGGTTAGAGGGGTACATGAATTTATAACAATGACCATAGCAATTTTACACACTTCGCTGAACCCTCAGACTATTGCTGAAATCTCTTTCAAAATTCGGGTATTCAAATTACGAGTAAATGTCATCTTTCCACACCTCACAATTTTCATCTTTCCACAAGACACATGCGGAAATTAATTATTATTGTTCGTGAAATCATAATATTTAATAGACCCTGTTGTCGGAAATAGACTCGTCGGGCGCTGTGCCGCCGGCGTAACTGGCGGAATCAATGGGGTTACCCGGATAGGCTGAGTACTTGTCTGGGAGTTCGCAGGAGCCGTCGCTGTCATGGCGGACGACGGCGGAGAGGTTGGCGGGAAAGTCGCCTTGGAAGTCGCACTGCCAGCCGCCGAACTCGTCCAGCGCCACCTTCTGCCCCTCGCACAAGCGGGCCTCCACCTGCACACGTAAGTCATAATTAGGTCAGATTTTGATGACCTACAACATAGCCTAAAAATGATTCATAAAATGTTTTTAAAATGCTATGTAAATACCCTAAAAGCAAAGAAAAAGGTCATTAAAAAATTGATCCTAGCCAGTTCTGATGAACAATTCAATCAGCTGGATATGTTACTGAGTAATCAAGGCTTCGTCCTTTAGCTCAAATGAAGTGTGCTTAAAAACGTTTGGACTATAGTAGTAAATCTGTACTTTCGGTCGCCTTCACATGCTTCTGGAAGCCTATGTTTGATTCAAATATCGATTGTTTGCTATAAAAAGCACGATATATACATACTTATGAAAGAAACCTTCTTTGTGACATTTTGATCGCGCTTTGCTCTTTCCATTCCCGCTATTTTTGCGTGTGTACCCTCTTTCAGAATTTGGAGGGGAAATGAAGGCGGAGTTGAAGGAAGTTGTTGTTGTTGTTATTATTATTATTATTATTATTATTATTATTATTTTGTTTAGGTATAGATCGTCATTTACTTCTTTAATAATATAACAAACCAGTAAAGTCCAATCTTTTTATTGACAATTTAATTAAAAGATGATTTTCAATAAAAAACGGACGTTAATGTGTTTGTTATATTATTAGAGTTGGAGAAGTTGTCTGTGCTCGCAGAAGCATACGACATCCCAGGCGGGCATATAGCTCGTGCGGACGCATTTTGACACCCCTGATTATAAGCGATTATGAGACGAGAAAAAACATCAAATTGGGAAGACACATATGCCCTGACTGAGAATAAGTTAAGGAATACATACAGTTCAGAACGGGAGTAAGTTGGAGGGAGGAGGTAATGTACTATACTTCGTGAGCTGTAGTGATGTCAGGCTCCCAACGAAACTTTAAAAATACCTATACTATCTCAGCTTGGCATCTCGACAAGTGACAATATGCCGACAGGTTTCATATTAAACATTTTTTTGTTCGTGCTTTACAAGTTTGTAGTGAAACATATTTAACGTAGTACATGTGGATGGACGTTTCATCCTCGGCGAATGAAATAGACTTGTACTTATTTATGGAAATACTGGTACTTATTCATTTTTTTGTTTCATAGTAGAATTAGGTTTAAAATTATCGTCAGTCTGGCGAATCAAGGCATAACGTTATCCAGAAAATCAGTATTCAAATTCTCAGGTATTCATCATCGTAGGTAGCTTTAAAATCCAAAAAATACGTTTTAGAGCTTGTTTAAGTTTTAAAGAATACATTGATGGATTCTAACATTTTTGTGCTCACGATATTGAAAGATCGTATGTATAGACAAAACAGCTGTTTGGAAAATTTGCAAAAAATATAGGAAACGCTCCAACCAAGATCGGAATAAATATTGATAAAAGTTAAGTGCCGATCACAGAGACAGCATTAAGGAGACTATGAAAAAGAAATTACCTATTTGATCAAGAACCTCTTTTTACCGAATAATCAATATTTTACAGTACCTCTCGATACATTATGTGTGGTGAAGAACCGTAGTGCGAGAAATCAAAGTGAAGCGCGCCGTACCTGTTGGTGAGTGAGGCACTGTGCGTCGATGGGCACGAGCACGCTGCCCTCCGGGCACGGGCGTGCCTTGCACAAGGCCTGCAGGCGCGCGTGCGCCAGGGCGTGCTTGTCCAGCACCAGCTCCTCCCCGTCCGCCAGGCCTGCGTGCGCAGCGCGTGGCACGCGCGCGCAGCTATCGCGCCCTCACGGCAGGACGCGAATTCCTCCTCAGTGCACGGCTAAGGAAGCCACGTCTGTCACAAAATACGTTTTGTTAGAATTTGCTTATCATGCTATCTAGTGGATTACACTGTGAAGAATGTTTGAGTGATTTGTTTATTGAACGTCATATTAGGGCATTATTAATATTGTAAGACTAGTTTAGAAGTATCAAACATTGCTTCGCAAAACGCATCCCAGTCAACATATCGACACTAGCCAGGAGACGCCATCATACGCAAGAAAAGCCGACTTGAGATTATTTTATTTCCCTTGTAACAATGAGCCAGTTGGTGAAGATATTATGTCATGCCGGGGCCTGAGGAATACATAAAATGAATTGTGACCCCACCAGTATTTATGTTTTTTGCCGCACACATCGTTGTATTACAGAGAAAATATTGCAATGATGCAGGCAAACAATCCATTTTTCGAAAATAAATCGTTTTTTGGGATTGTGATATCAAACTGTGGATGTTCCAACTTATACTATAGAAACGTCAATTAAAAAGCTTTCACAATCAAGTAATGTAGTCAAGATTCATGTTTGTGAAACCTCGTTTTCTCAAAACCGTCGTGAACACCGCTAGCAGCCCATGCCTACACACGGAGTTTTCAACATAATTGGAGTTAGTAGAATGATTTGATCGATCTAGGACCTCAAATTTGAAACAGATTTTTGATTATTTTTTTTTTTTGTTTTTTGCCTGAAATCAAAACATTTTCAAAAATTTATATAATGTATATCTATTTTTATCTCGAATAAAACAACTTTGGCTTATAAAAATGGCGTAAATCCGATTCTTTTTGAAAACTTAATTTCATTATGAAAGGTACTAATATCGTTTGAATAAAATGAAGAAAAATTAGTCGTTAAAGCACAATTTTTGTAAAATATGATTAGTTTTTATCTAATTTCGAGTGAATTTAAAGAAATTTAAAAAACACGATAACTAGATTCTCTTGAAAAGGTTTCTTAATAATACAAAAGAAAAAGAGTATTAAAAAACATAATATTTCTAATATTGATTGCACAAGTCATATTTTCGTTAATATCTGAAATTTTCTTATTTAATTGTACCTAACAAAATTTACAATTTAATAAGTCAGTGTTCACCAGGAAAGTTATAATCTCCAAATGATAGCAAAATGAAAATGAAAACAGAATGCAAAGGGCTTAATAGTTTTGTACCATGTCGTAAACGATGACTAAATAGTGTTCGTAGATTTGTTATTAGAAACGTCAGAAATTTGAGCATGAAATAATCGTGATTTCTTTTAAGAATTATATGTTTTAGTTTGGAAAGAACAGTCCTATTCTCTGAACATAATTAATGAAACAATAATTTCTTGTTGCAATTATCAAACAATAACAATTGAGTATCATAATTTTATGTTTACCAAAACCCTATTTTGTATTACATCGTAGCAAAGTGAATTACATTAACAGCCCTAATGGCAATTATAATATTTGAACTACAAATCAAATGTGTAGAATTGGTTATAGTTTCATATTTCACATATATCGGCATACAAACATTTCCAATATGATACAAAAGGCAATATTACTTCAACTGTGTATGACCGCCATTTCCTCGGCTATTGCTTTTCTAATTTACGCACTGTGGTTCGAAATGCGCATTCCAATTGGGAATCCCCATTTCTAAACATAGCCTCATTTTTCTCACTCCTCAAATTTCTCCGCATTTGTACTCAAATGACTCGCGCGCCGCTCTCGAGATCGGACAAAGTGCACAGTGCTGTGCAGGCCTTCCCTACGACAATGAAGCTCAAGTGGGTTGGGAATTGCATTTAACTGAAGCGCCATCACATGCGGCGGAGCAATCTAGCGGAGACTTACAACAAAGTGAACAGCAATAAAATCTTCATGAAAAGCACATTTAGCAGGTGGATCGATCTACGTTATACCAACATCCATTTTCATAAATAAATAGAAGAGTATTAATAGTGTCTTACCAGGGTCATGTCGTATGTCGGTGGTCGCACGGGGTTGGAGAAATCCGGGACGCGGCACAGCCCAGGGCCGGAGGCTGGGGGCGGCAGCGACGGAGGGGCGGTCGAGTAGGATCCGGTTGCTCCCACACACTGACAGGCCATCTGCCCAAACTCGTTGTGCTGGGCTTGCATGCCCCATTCCCACTTGCACATCTGCTCGCCGAACATGCACATATATTGGTCAGAATATTTCATTGACTCAGTTCTTGCGAATATTTACTACTTATTTCGTAACTGAAGGTATTTTTAAAAAAATAATACACAAATTATAGAAGTAATCAAATAAATAATAAATATTTGCGATTTTGCAATAAAATTGTGAATAATTATTTCTATTATGGCAGAAATCCTTATTTAATGTAGTATTTTTGGTAAAAAAATCCTCTAACTACTCCCTTTTTAATGCATCTACCCTTTTGAAACCCACCCTTTTGAAACATTTTCTGCCAGTCAGTTCCATGTCTGATGTGTCTTGTTATTGTTCTCTCCTTATCTTTCTTGCTATTGCTTTGTTTCAGTCTGTCTCTCGTATTTATTTATTTCTCTCCCTCACTCTCTGATTTCAACTTACACACACACACACACACATACACATGTTTCTACTAATAATTGCCACAAATATCCCACAGTGTCTTGTTCTCTTTTAGGCTGCTCTATGTCCAGAAACCTAAGGACGAATAATATCGTGAATTATATTGCAATTTAGTGTATGTTTAGTCCTGTTGAACATACACAGCGTGCCTATTAAAGGAAACTATTCCATGAAAGACTTAAAAGATAATAATTAAAGAAAAATGTTAACTTACATCGAATATAGTTCTAGGAGGTTCACAACCTCCGTTAAAAACGCTGGGATGCTGATTGTCAGCGAACGTGGAATTACAAGTTCCTTTTAGACGGCCATTCATTGCTTCGTCCCAGTCCAGGTAGAATATTTGCCCATCGCATACTGTGTTCCATTGACCGGGAACATAGCAATTGCCATCACTATGCAAAATACGGCCATACTGGAGACAAACTTTCTCTTCTTCAGTGCATGGATATTCGTGGTCTCGGTAAGTAGTATTTGTGAAAAACTCAAATAAGGGATGGTTGGAAGTTTCCTTGTTCGAGATCTGTAAACATTAGGCACTTTATCTACGATGATCAAATTCACTGGCAAGCAAATACTTAATGCACCAGCAGACATTTTCACACAATAGTAGTTTATGCAATTAATTTGTAATGTTAAGCTTTGTTGCATTAGTACATGTTTTGAAAACGAGCGACGTTAGGAGCGAGTTCTCACATTAGTACGAATGCAATAAAGCAACATTATAAACGAGTTACATACGCTATTTTCGTATAATAGTATTATGAATTTATAAAAGAATCTAACTTAATTTTGTGAAATAACGTTTTTGTGGCGTCTCGGCTATTTAACATCTGCGTAAGAAAACCGTGGTCGGTTGTTCCGTTCACGGCAACCGCCCCACCATTCTCTCGTTGCGGTTGGCTAAATATGTAATGACACAATCATTCGTGCCGTAAAATCTAATGTGTCATCATTTGTGCCAAAAAATGCCCTTTTAAGAATGAGTTTTTCAACAGGAATGGTCGTTTATACAAAAGTATCGTATACAAAAAACGTATTTACGAAACGAATATAATATTTTTTAAGACAATTGAAAATTAAAACTAGTATTACACGCTAAACTAATGCATTGAATGTCATCTCACAGTAGAAAGTGGCAAAAGAAACAGAAAATGATGCTGGGTTTGTCGTACATGTAATATTAGTACTGCAGGTTTAATATAGAATAATTATTTACGATTTGATCTTCACTTTTGAAATATCAAAACGCTTTAATCTTGAGTATATGAAAGTCTATTAGAAAAAATTATACTTTTTTTCTTTTGCTAAAAAAACTTCCTCAGATGTAAGAAACCCAAATCTGTATGGTACTTGGAAATAATGCAAGAAGGACTTCACATATGAAAAGATTAAATAATTCAATTTAATGTAAAAACTACACATTATTTATTTTGAAGATGCTCAATAAAACACTCACAAATCGCCAGCGTGTTCTAACAGATTTTGAGAGTTAATGGTGTGAATAGGTTCTTTGTATTAACAAAGTAATGCCTTGATTTCTCATAAAATAATTGTATATTTGGATTTAGCAAAAAAACTTATCGTCAATGCTGTATGCACACTGACTTTGAAGTTGGAGCCCGCTCTACATTGAAGCATCAAAGCCATAGTTGCTTTATTATTTCTTGTCTCAGAATTGTTTTTCTTAAAATACATAAGAATGTAGAAAACAATCCAATACTTTTTAGAATACAAATAATTTTCTAATTTCGCACCCCAGCAATCTGTCCCTCTAAATTCTGTTTCTCATAAAAAATCCAGAAAAGTTAAATAACATTGCAAATAATTGGGTTTTACATGCGCGATAATGTATTTTCGCTTGGAAAACTTGGCTTTTTGAAGAGAAAAAACCTTTTCTAATATTTTTGTGGCTGTAAAGGAAAGCGGAAAGTAATCTGTCAAGGAATTTCAAACGTTGTTTTTAGGAAGTGTAAATTGTTCAAAGAACATATCTCTATATTACTTAATAAGGTTCAATTGAAAATTTGTTTCCAACATCAAATGCGTTGGTTTCAGTTTTGTTTGATATTCTGTAAACATATTAAAAGCTACATTTATACATTTTTTTAAGAAATAAACACGTTTCATTAACAACTTTCTTTCATAATGGAAAGGATAGACAAATGAATAGGCAAAGGGTGGCAATTAACATTCGAGAGCTCTTGCACGGGTACGCTAGTAATAACAATTTGTACTGTACCGTCATATTTTGTTCTTCGCCTCTCCATTTTCTAAAGAGATCTGGGGGAAAGCACAATCCGTTGTAGTCCATGTGGTCGTATTGCTGATGGAAAGGAGGGCTTGTCGCTATAGGTTCGCAAGGCAGTTCCCTCCAATCGCACACCCACTGCCCGAAGGAGTCCAACGATGGTTGAAGGTACAAGTCCTCCCGGCAAATCTGTGAACACAGGGCGAAATTGAAATAAAGGTTATTAGTCATTCATAGAGACCTGCACGAAACTATATCTCTCGAGCGACATGGCCATGACTGTTAATACAAAATACACTAGACGACACTCCAGTATTTTAGGTTTTCGCTCGCCGTGACGTCACTAGAGAAAAGAGCTAGGCGTATGTACATTGGAAGAAGTGCCCTTAAGGGTATGCAACTTTTGACTTCAGTTGTATTATTGGCATGGTCAATATAGTCTTAGATTACTTATAGTTTATTTGTTTCCGGAAACCTTTGCCAACCACTATCCTTATTTCGCAAAATGAAAACAATAATTAAAATTATTTAATACTAAAATAATTATTTTAAACAATATATTATCAGCTAAGATATTATGAACTATATTAATCACGTAACAAGCATCCATGAATATATGATTTTTTTTCATTCAGCGAGTAGAGTCGATAAAAGTAAAGTTTTAAACTCCAATAATTTGTTAAATTTTCTCTCATGGAATTTACCTTATGATAATAGGAATTTACCTTATGGATGTTTGCTCTACCATCAGGTGGTAGAATAGTTCATATACTACTGGTGATTCAACTACGTAATGTTTGAATAAATTAAGATATCCTCAATCAAGGCTAAAATGTTTTTGCGGCACTCAGAATATTTTTAAAAAGGGCCAATAACTTTTATATGATCAGATGTTTATATAGAACGTAACTGATGCTATGTAAAAGCAAAGTTTACAAACCCAGAGAAATATTTGGAATATCATCTGCTAGCGAACGCTTAAAATGTTTAACATTACACCCGTACATCAATGGTAAATCGTCTTAGGATTATTACTCGTAACTCTGAAAAAAATTAACGTTCAACTCAGAATGATCAGATGTGTTACACGTAGACACAACGCCTCTGAACAGAGTGGTGGTAAATGGCGTCATGTTCAATTTCTAGCCTCCACCAATGGGCACTAGTAGTATGTACACTATGTGATCAAAAGTATTCAGACACGTCCAAAATTGTGTTATAGTGTGGTCGTGTTTTTCATGGCTTGCACATCTTGTTGTTTTATGTGGCGCTATCACATATCTACGTTGATGTTTTAAACACCTTCTTGCTTCTCACTGTTGAAGAGCAAATCGGAGATGGCGATTGCATCTTTCAACACGATTGAGCATCTGTTCATACTGCACGGCCTGTGGCGGAGTGGTTACACGAAAATAACATCCCTGTATTGGACTGGCCCACTCAGGGCCAACTTCGTGCCAGGCTTCACTGCTCTGCATCGATACCTCAGCACTCTATGAAGAATGGGGGTCCATACCTCCAGAAACTTTCCAGCACCTGATTGAAAGTAAGCCTGAAAGAGTGAAAGCTGTCATCAAGGCGAAGGGTGAGCCAACACCGTATTGAATTCCAGCATTATCGATGGAGGGCGCCACGAACTGGTAAGTCATTTTCAGCCACGTGTCCGGATACTTTTGTTCACTTTACGTAAAGATTGCTTCACCGAGAAAACTGATGATCTCATACTCGATATCTGTCGCTCCACAAGATAATACTTGACTTTAAGACCACGATGTAGGATGTATTTTTTACTCCGTGAGGTGAATCGTCAAAACTAGGTGTATATATTACTTGTAAATGAAAAACTAGGAATGAAATGCAAGTGTAGCTATTGTTTGCAGAAAATGCTAGAATAATATTTTGCATTTCCGCTTTAAACGTAACATACATTTTAGAGCAGCTGGTAATCATATAATTTAAAAGAGATACAATATTCATTCAGAGATAATTAATTATGCTCTTATTACCCCGAGCTTCGGGCAGACCAGACATCGAACGGAAGTCAATACCAGTAAACTGCAGATTTCCTATATTTAATTTGAATAAATTCTACGAATTATCTCATTTATGAAGGCCTATGACTATTGTGTTCATCTAATTTTAAAATGCTAAGAATGTGGCAACGATGAAACTGTGTAAGAAGATAAATTGAACGCGATTTAACCCATCCTTCCTCAATTTATACAAAGGAAAAAAGTTAGTTTACGTAACACTTAATTGAGATCAATGCATGGCGAATGTGGTGCGGAAGAGTGCAGGAATTATATTTTTTTCTACTGCAGAAGGGGAGGACCAGCTCAACACTATTTAACTTTTTGGATGTATGGGCAAGTCCATTTTCCGCTGAACCAATTCTGCCGATGCGTGTAGTAGTACCTTGAAGTAATTGATTTGCTAGTCGGTTTTCTTTCACTCACCCGTTATTAGAGTAAAAGGGGTCGAATATTTATGAAACCACTACCAATTACCAGAATATAGGTGTTGTGGCTGTGATATCTTTGGCAATTTTTAAAATAATTAAAGATGTTGTCCATTGCCAACCAATATTTTTTAATGCTAGATAGCAGCTTTCGCCTCATCATAGTTGTCTGCCAATCGATGGAAGCCACAAAACGACTACCTAGTCTAAAAATATTGTTGGCAATGACAACATCTTTAATTAATTACAGAATAATTTAAATGTAAGAGAAAGCTCATTAATTGTAATTTCATAACGTTCGTGTTCATTACAAGTAACAAAGAAAACGATACCGAGCGCAATGGTTTAGGGCGTAGCGCGCTGACTTCGCTTTTGGAAGGCCCAGGTTCAATACCTGAGCCAGCCATCCTGATCGGGGTTTTCGTGGTTTCCCTCGGTCATCCAAGGTCAGAATTTCTTGATACCACACTCTATATTCTTTGTTCTTATAACTTCCTTTCTTCCGTCATTTTCTCCCGCCCTATTATTATTTTGTCCTTATTTTATTCAACCTTTCCTCACCACATCTCTCCATATGTTTTTTGCAGTGGTTTCTTCAATTCTTCAGAAAATATCAATTAGGAAGATGAGCATGTCGAATGAAATCTTGTCTCATCAAATATATATATATATATTTATGCATCAAGCATATATATATATATAAGATGATAAATAAGAAAAAGATGAAGTTAACAATGATAAAGTTCAAGAGAATGTAGTTGAAGAGGGTGTACGTAGTTGAAAATGTAGTTGAAGAGGATGCAACCGGTGAAGAATTATGTGAAAGAGAATGCAGTTGAAAATGAAGTTGAAGGTTGAGGAGGAGAAGAAGAACCTACCTTTGCCTCGACTTCTTCTCTGGTGAGGCACTCGCCCGTGGCGCCAACGGGGAACTTGGAGGCGTCGCCGCAGCCGCTGGAGCACGTGCCGCGGATGTGCCCGCCCTTTCTCGACGCCTCGAGCTTGTCGGCGTGGAATACCTCTCCTTCGGCGCACGGGCCCTGCTCCCCGACAGAGTAGCACTTGCCGTCCGCCTCGAACAGCAGCTGCAGGTTCTTGAAGCACTCCAACTCTTCCTCGGAGCACGGGAACTGGCGCTGGGTGAACGTTTCGTTGACGAAGTATCTGTGCAACTCCAACTCAAGATGGGAGGAAGCCAATGAAGGAACAGCGACCATTGTCACCACCCAGAGCTGAAGAAAAAATGAAAAAATATTCAAAGTTACAGAAGTAAATATGAGATGGTGTTGTGTCGTAAGAATTTATTATTGCATAAAGCTTTTGCGTTGAGGCCAGCATTGAGGCCATCTTCGGTGCTACACAAATAAAAAAATATCTAAATTACAATTCATTTTTTATCTATTATAGATTACTACTTATGGATTTAATAAGGGCTACAGCAGTTGCTGTGTGAGGTTTGTCTCATCGCGAGGAGCTAGGAATTGAGCAGGGACATTGGGGAATCTTCGGCGCTCGCTACACAGATTGAATTCAGCTGCTGGCTGAAGGACAGTTCTAGCGGCATTTTGATGCTCCTCCAACTAAGTAACTTTTTAATAAATAAAGCTTAACCCACTGTCAGCGACCGGGGTTGTGGATACTCAAACTCCTTTTGTTTCTTCACCTATACAACACAATTGAATTTCCTGAGAGCTTCGTAAAACATATTACTGTTTTACGTTTGTCATTGGTTCGTTACCGGATTTTATATATAATCGAATTTATACTTATTAGCGTCGAATGCAAAAAAGCAAACACACTCCAAACTTTAATTTAAAAGGTGTCTCCAACACATAAATAATTTTCTTATATCTCAGTGTTTGGGGTAATTTAATTGTTTAATACGTTTTTCTGCTCAAATAAAGAAACTGGCGATAATGCAGAATTGCAGACTTTCCTACGTGTTAAAATATAATTTTTTACTAGATTTTCCGGTTTTTCCGGAACCTCGTCTTATCGACTGACTTAGAAGACTTTTTTAAATATTTTCTGCATATTTTCCTTATCTAATAGTGCAATTGAAATATGTATTTAGGAATATAGTAGGAAGATAAAACCTGGTACTAAATGCACATTTTCATTTGAATAATTGAGTTGTTTTTGCTGCATTGTCGATTGCGCGTTTCTGAAAATGAAAAATGTGATATTTTTTAAAAAGTTTTGATAAAGTTTATAATAAATTATTTGAACCACTCTCATTCCAAATTCAATAATGTCTAAAAAGTCCTGAAGTGTAAATAGTAACGACATGGGAGATGCATAAAGAAATTACATTTAGTAATTTTAAAAAAAGTTAAAAGCGTACATGAAATCAGCGATGGTTAATTTCGGCGGCCTTTTAAGTTCACTTAGCATTATGTGTAGAAAAAAAACAATTCCATCAGTTTTTGCGAATGTATAGTTTGTAATATAGCGCATATTTCACTCAAATCTACGCATAAAGTACTAATATTTTTAAAAGTTGTACTTGATATTAATTGAGAATCTAATTAGACAGAACAAAGTTTATTTTTAAAAATATCTATCTTAAATACTGTAGTCGCATAAGACTTCAAATTGCAACAAATGTTTGCGATCTTTAGAAATTCAAAGTTATCAGTCAAAGAAAATTGGGTTTAAATCAATTTTATAGGTGTATTTCACTATATTCTTACAAAAAAATTAAAGATAAAATAGGAGCCATTTTTGAGAAAATTTCGAAAATGTAGTTAACGGCTCACATACGGTACTCCCGATATTCAAAATATCCGGTTGAAATTCGAAGTGTTGTGACATCATCAAATGGATTGAGGAATATCAATTTTGATGAAAATAATTTCTTTGGTTTAGTCACTAGCGTAGGTTACAGACATAACTAAAATGGTCGGACGCATACATGGTCACACTTTAGCCGTATCAGCGACCAACAAAATGTTGGTTCTGACTACACAGCGCGTTAGATGAAGTTATTTGCTACATATATGAAAAGTATTATTCCAGTGTTTAAATTGTTGTATAGTGATTCCGAGCGGCTCATCTGCTAAGGTTATTAGTCCCGTAAGTGTAGTACCTTTTTAGCGCAAGAGGTGGCGGTGATCTTTTCCCGCTGTACGGCGAGATCCGGCGCCGACCTACCGTCGGTTAGGGGGGTTTCCCTCAACCAGGAATCACCCACCAACGGGTACCACCCCAACCGGGACGAGCACTAAGCTACCGACCGGTCTCCCAGCATGTGTGATAGTCTAGACCATGTAATAGTAAGTGTGTGAAAGAATGGCATAGGATCGGACGGGGAATGGGAAGGAAAGAACGCGTGCGGTTCGTGGCACGTTTGTTAAGGTACTGCTCCTGGTGCTGATCGGAGAAACCACGGGAAACTACCGATTAGAGCAGCCGCCCCATAGAATTCTCCTCCAGACAGCGCCTGAATTCGACCTAGCTATTTAGGTAGTGTCGAAAATTCTCCCTCCGCCGGGACTCGCACCCAGGACCTCCCGGTCAGAGATACAGCGGTGACATCAGACGATGCCCTAAGCCACCTCCTCCGGTGCTAGAGTCGAAAACCCTGCTACCGTTGGAATTGGAGCGATATCAGTTGATTCCCCGAGACACCTTTGCTGGTCCTATCGTTTAGTACTAAGTTTCCATAAAACTAATTTTTCTGCCAAAATGTAGCTGTTTTGGTGAAGTATTATAATACTTTTGCTATGGTAATCGCACGCAAGTATGCATGTGTAAAAACATTGAAGTATATTTTTCTTATTCCCGTATATTTACGAATTTCGACAAAATAGGCGCTAATGTGCAAGGTGTACTCGCAAGGCATACTCGCGCATGTGCAAGGTGTTCGTGGTTAATAATTAAGGCTACCGTTGTAAAACTAACTACTGTTGCTTACCAGAAGGCCTAACTGTCGAGTGCGTGATGTCATTGCGGCCTGTGTTGTTTCCACGGTAGCTCTTGCTGTTCTTCCCCCGCTGAACTGGGCGGAGATTTTGTGAAAACGAAGTTATATACAGTACTTCCTGTGTCACTCACTTCCGATTTTTTTGCGACGTTCCCGTGTTGTCCGCGGTGCGGCCGGAGCAGGACTGGCCCTCATCGGAAGAAGCGTCATGCAGATTATTTCGAACGTGCCTACGTAACAACAAACGACACGCGAGTCGAACTTCATATTTATTGTGTGGTTTTGTAATTTTAATTTTAACAGTGCAGCCCTTCGCGTTTTCCATTTCTCAACTACCATTGCTTCCACAGAATCAAGCTTTCCGCGTAAAAATCCAAGTATTTAGTCACTGAGAATATGTCAGACCTTAAGTTACTTGATGAAAACGCATTGTAAAAGGGGTATTCAAGCCACGAAATAGTTAATAGCAGTTTTGGGAAAGCAATAAAAATAAATTTGTGCCGTTTTTGAAACGTTTAAAAAAGACCCAAAGTAAGGAACTAACGTCTAATAATAGTTCTAACTTAAGAAGTTCTAACTTACGTAAGATCCAACTGTGTCAAAACACCTCTAAAATTACGTTCACGAATCGGAGGATGTTCAGAAAGGGTGAGTATATTTGACGCCCAAAAAAAAAACAAAAATACTCATAGTTTCGAAATATTCAGCATGACCATATTTAAAGATGTGTTTCGATGAACACATTTCATTAAGAAGAAAAAAAATCATAATTTTAGTTGTAGAAAGTGGGAAAAAATTCATTTTCTTCAATTTTTCAGAAATCATGGTTTTTAAGCAACATGAGACCTGCGCCATTCTCTTAAACGCCCTTCCGACGTCCAACAACAAAATTTAATCAAAATCAATAACGCCATTTTCTTCAAGATTTTGAAAATCTCCCAAAGGCTTCTCATAAAGTACCACCTCCCCCTCAATTAAAATATCAGGTTCAAATCCAAGGGGCCATTGGCCCGATCGATCCGGGAATATCAATTTTGGAGAAAATCGGCTGAACAGTTTAGCGTTGTTCACCGACAGGCGGACAGACGTTTTTCCGTCAAACGATTTTTCGGTATCAAGGACCCACAAAACAGACTCGGGCTACACCACGTGTTAGAGTATTTAAATTAAACAACTGTTTTTATCCACCTTTTCGTTTCCAGTAATTATAGTTCACCTGCCGAAAATTCTCCATTTTATTTAACTTTAAGAACTTCCTTCTTGAGCGCGAGAAAGTAGGGAAAGTGAGGTAAATATGTATTTAATGTATTTATGTGACGCTTCTTGAGTGTCATTGTTTTATCCTTATAATAATATGTATTAATGTAACAATATTAGTTTTATTTAGTAAATCAAATCTATCTATCGATCTATTTAACATTATAGGAAATCTGCTTGGACCTATTCCCGAAGGATGTGACTATTTCATAGACGAATTAGGAATATATACATATAATACAATACTACAACTATATACTATATATATAAATATATATATATATATATATATAAATATATATATATTATAATATATCAGTTATTATATTTAGTTTACATGTACAATACATATCTTTATCATTAGGTGAGGCCAAAGTGCAATTTGAAATTCAGCAATATTATGCAATAAGAGCGTATCATTGTGCTTGATAATGTGGCTGCCTAACTACTGCATTTTCCCACTCCCAGCTGTCAAACCGAAAGAAGTTTTAAACGGACTGCGTGACTGCCAGTTTATCCTCGTAACTTCCGCTTGAGGAAAAAAATCTAATTCGATCAAAAGTACTAATGTGAACAAAAACGGATTTAAAACAATAATGTTCAATTTTTAAATATTTTAATTTGTGAATGAAAGTCTGCTTAAAAATTACAAGACCTTCAAACCAATTTTAAAAACAATTTGTGCAGTAATATTTTATTTAGCAATAATGTGAAATATATTACTAAGTCTATAAATCAACAATTTTAGCTCTACGAGCGTACAGCACATTTAACAGACAATAAATTTGCCTGTTAAACCTTCTAACCTGAACGTAGAAATTTAATGTTTTTATATCACTCTTAGGAAAACACGATTACAAAATCAAGATACTTTCGATTCATTATTTTAAATTGGATTGAGAATTAGAAATCTGACTGATATAGTATTTCATTTAATCATTTCTTTGTTTTAAAGAGAAGATGGGAATTAATGTAGCTGAATTTGTGACAACTGTGAAGTAACTCATCCCAAACACTTTCTTGGGGCAATAGCATGTAACGTATCGAATT